TTTTTTTTATCTTTTATTTAATGAATATAAATTTCTAAAGTACGACTCATGGGTTACAATGGCTTCCCCCCCCATACCGTCCCTCCCACCCACAACCCTCCCCTTTCCCACTCCCTCTCCCCTTCCATTCACATCAAGATTCATTTTCGATTATCTTAATATACAGAAGATCAGCTTAGTATACCTTAAGTAAGGATTTCAACAGTTTGCTCCCACACAGAAACATAAAGTGAAAAATAATAGATGATTTTTTTTTAAAATGATGATGAAATCAGATCAGACCTATTGTCATGTTTAATCCCAGTGAGAGTCAAGTTGGGAATTGATAATTTCTTTTCTTTCTTTTTTTTTTTTTACAGAAGATCAGTTTAGTGTACATTAAGTAAAGATTTCAATCGTTTGCACCCCCATAGAAACACAAAGTGAAATATACTGTTTGAGTACTCATTATAGCATTAAGCCTCAGTGTACAGCACATTAAGGACAGAGATCCTACATGAGGAGTAAGTGCACAGTGACTCCTGTTGTTGACTTTACAAATTGACACTCCTGTTTGTTTAAAAAGAAGAGAGATAGCAAGTGAATGAGGCAGAAAGAACTTTCCATTTTCTGGTTGATTCCTCAAGTGCCTGCAACAGCCAGGTCTGGGGCAGGCAGGAACCCAGAAATCTGAGTCTCCCATTTGGGTTCCAGGGACCCAACTACTTGCACCTTCACTTCCGTCATCCCCAGGCTTACATCCCCAGAACACTGGAGTTGGAAGCAGAGCTGAGACTTCACCTCAGGCATCCATGGAATGCAGGTGTCTCAGGTGGCATTTGAACCCCTGTGCCAAATGCCAGGGGGATTTAGTTTTTATTTTACTCAGTGAACCTTCAGAATGCTTGCTTTTGAGGAAACTCTTAGTAAGGCTTTTGACCACACAAAGCCAATGATAGGCACTGTGTTTTCCCTTAGCATTTTTCTCGTTTTGTGTATTTAAAATTGGTAATATTTAGTACATCAAGAATGTAGTTTTGTGACATAAAATCCTAGCCAGTTTCCCCAAATCAACAGGCATCATTTGTAAATAATCCACCTTTGCCTAGTAATATGAAATGTAACCACTATCATTATAAATTCTTATGTATATTTGGATTTTTAGTCACTTGTCTTCATTTATTGGTCTGTTCAGTGGTCAGTAAAATATGGAAATTCGCACATTTTTATAACCTCAAAGCCATTCTTTATATATTACAAATCAGTGTCATCAAAACAATAAGAGCATGTATAACCCAAAAAGTTTAAACCCCTCCTCTTTTATTTGGTTATATAAAATAGAAAAACAGATAAGAAGCTCACATTTTGAGAAAAAAATGAGTCTTCCTGTTCAGGAACATGAAACGATCTTCTGCACGGATATAAAAGGGATACTGGAGGCCGGTGCGCGGCTCACTAGGCTAATCCTCTGCCTAGCAGTGCCGGCACACCAGGTTCTAGTCCCGGTCGGGGCGCCGGATTCTGTCCCGGTTGCTCCTCTTCCAGGCCAGCTCTCTGCTGTGGCCCGGGAAGGCAGTGGAGGATGGCCCAAGTGCTTGGGCCCTGCACCCCATGGGAGACCAGGAGAAGCACCTGGCTCCTGCCTTCGGATCAGCACGGTGCGCCGGCCGCGGTGGCCATTGGAGGGTGAACCAACGGCAAAGGAAGACCTTTCTCTCTGTGTCTCTCACTGTCCACTCTGCCTGTCCAAAAAAAGGGGGGGGGGGATACTGAATTCCACTCAAACAATTTCAGCCCAGAAACTGATATATTATGGAAATTGTTTCTCTCATTTCCACTTTTCTATAATGCATACAGCAGTGCGTGTGTGTGTTTAACGTGTACACTAAGCTTTGTCGAGTTTGGTTGATGATGTCACTTTAAGTGGCCAATACAGCAGTCTGTGAGGAGAACTGTGAGTAGAGGAGAAGCAGCTGAAGTTTCGGCTCTGTTGCAGCTTCTCAGAAGCCGGCCGAGGCGCTCGGGTTCCCTGTCCCAGGCGCTGCGGTGTCAGCACAGGTGGCGACCCTGCATCGCGGTGACAGGAGGGCCCGGGAGGTGCGGGCTTCTCCCGTCACTGCCAGCTCCCCGTCCCCTTACCTCTTCTGGTCCCTGTCATTTTCTCCCAGCCAAATCTTCTCGAGGACCCTGTGGCGCGGATGATAGGCCAGCCGCGATTGATTCCCAGAATCCTCAGAGGTATCAACGGAGAAGCCCAAGAGCCGCCGGCTCCTCCTACCCGCCAAGGTGAAAATCTTCTTCATCGCCCCTGCCGGCGGCTCTGGAGCCCTGGCTCTGGGCGGATAACAGTGGCCAAACAGCCAGGGAATGCGTGTGCGGAGAGGTGGGGGTGGGGGCGTGCGGCGGAGGGGCGGGGGCGGCCGGTTCGCTGCGCATGTGCAAGCTCCAGGGGTTCCCAAACAGCGATTATTCTGCCTGTAAAATTGAGGATACTTGCCTGAGTGTTAGGGACGTTTTGCAAAAGAAAGACTCATCGCTGTGCACAAGCCATCTCTGCACTCACCTGGGACTCCAGTGGTGGAAACTTCACCACGATGAAGGCCTCATTTCCGGGAAGACGCTCCTTGCCCCTGGTTTATGACCCCTTCTACATCCTTCTGGGTCCCAGCCAGTATCCCTTGAAATTTAGGGGGTCCACAACAAAAGGCTGTTTTCATGAGTTCCTGCAATGTGTCATTATGTGAGTCTGTGAGAACTCAATGTGCATCTTGCAGAAAACACACAACCCCACTTATGCACACCTCGTGTTGTTCGCTCTTTGGCTCAGGGTTACCTTTAAGGTTTTCTGACTTTCACTTCTTGCGATTTTCCCTAAGTGAATCTTTAGTCCATGACGACTTTTGGAGCATAGTGTAATATTTAAGAGCTTCTTTTGAAAACAGCTTTTCAGAGACTCTCTGTACCCAACAGTTCATCTTTTGGCATTAGGTTAAAGGTCACTTTATTTTATCCGAAGTCCCTAGGTTCTGTTTTTGAGTGTTACTGTCTGCTTCCTGAAACAGAACCACTACCTTTTATCAATAAAATGTACAGCATTTTGATGTCCGTTACAGTATCAAGTTTCTGCCTGCTTATTCCTCTTTTTAGTGTTCTTTTGGTAGTGTTTACATTATTTAAGATGAATTGTTAATTACTTTGCCAAATCGGAGGATTCCTTAGTGGGATTAGATTTTAATTGAGTTAGGAAAATAATTTTAACAGAATCAATCTTTTGTAACAGTCCTACTGAATAAATATTGTCTTTGTTTAATTCTTAATTTTGAACTTTATTTATTTGAGAGAGAGAGCGCCCCCAGCTCCTCCACTGGTTCTTACTCCAAATGCCCTCGATGGCTAGGATTGGGCCACACTGAAGCCAGGAGCTAGGAACTCAATCACGGTCTCCCATTTGGGTTACAGGGACCCAAATACTTGTGCCATCACCTGTGACATACCAGGATGCACGTTAGTAGGAAGCTGGAATTGAGAGGAGCTGGGGAAGGGGCAGTGTTGTGACGTGGTGTTAAAGCTGCTGCCTGTGACGCAGCATCCTATATGGGCCGTGGTTTGTGTCCTGGCGATTCCACTTACCATGCAGCTGCCTGAGAATGGTCTGGAATAAGCAGAGGAAGCAGGCCCAAATGTTGGGGCCCCTGCTGCTGACATGGGAGGCCCAGACATTCCTAGTTTCTGGCTTCGTTGTCTCTCTCAACTCTGGCTTTCAAAACAAATAGTTAAAAAAAAAGCAGAGAGGAGCTGTAACGCAAAACCTGATACTCTGAAATGGAATGTGGGTGTTCCAACTGGTGTCTTAACTGGCAGGCCACAGGTCTACCACTGTACTACACATTTTACATGAATTATTGTGAATTACCATCTCAAACAGTTTTTGCAACAAAACAAACTTTTACCTCAATTTTCTATCAACTTTTTGAAATACCCACATTTGTGTATATGTGATTTCAATAACTTGAGTAAGAAACATGTGAGTACAACTTCCAAACAAGGTTTTAAAGTATTTAACTGCCTAACACCAGTTTCTTGGTCCTTCCTGATTTTCCCGTTATCTCCAGCTGAGCAGAGTTGGAATCCTGAAAGCCTCCAGCCCTGGGTATGCTGCATTGCTGTTGATGACAGGCCACAGAGACATACCAGTTTAGATGCTCTACCCTGATCATGCCCATAGCACATATAAGCTAAAAGTTTGTTGCAATTCCCAATAGTCTTCCAACATTAGCATGAAATCTATGAAGAATAAATGAAAATTAATACCAGTATTTCAGTTCTCACTTCTGATTTTTTAAGATTTATTTTATTTATTTGAATGAGTGAGTTACAGATGAAATGATTTATGAGAAAAGGTGCATTGCTAATCCACTTGAATTGACACCCAGTCAGCAAAGTTTCCTGGCCTCATCCCTAAAACATCAACTGAGGTTTCCATTATCCATGGAGAAATACACATGATTTCACTTTCAATATTAAACCATGGCCATCATTTATAACTTTACTATTCACATTGAAGTGAGGATTAAATTTTGTTTTATATTGTTCAGATGACTGCTGAGGTGTCTGAACACCTGCACTGACATGTTTCCTATTTCATAGGCCATATTGCCATATGTTTTTCATGCTACTTCTGGGATCCCCCTTAACTTGTGTTTCTCTGCCTATCTTTGCACATGTTTTTACTGTGTCATTTGAATGGTGGAAGACTATCATTGACCTTTAATAAACGGTAACCTCTCTATTATGGATTGGATATGACTTGCTCCCCCAGCTCATTTAAACTCCAGAGTCTTATATTGACAATTGATCAATTTAAAGTAGATACTTGTTCTAATTATGGCTTTTGTTAGGTGAATCTGCTGGAGGAGACTTTAGGTCTTGCAGGCTTGCCCTCAGAGAGTGGTTCTCATGAGAAGGTTGGTTGTTTAACCTTGGCATGCTTGCTGTGTCTCTCACTGTGCTTCCAGGCTCACCATGGGATCATCCCTCCACACAGGCTTCACCATCGCCAGCCTCACCAGAGCTAGTCTATGTGGCTGTCCGATATTCAACTAAGGATCTCCGAGCTGTAAGCAAAAATAAGCATTTTCTTTCCTGAGTAGCTCCTCTCTTGTATGTTAAAGTAATGAAAAGCTGACTAACCTTCCATACCAATCACAGGAGAAAGCACAGCCCTCCTGTATGAGGTGTTCAGCAGCAAGGTAGGTGCCATGCATACCAGAGCTGGCAATTTTTTCTTTCCATTTACTAGTCCTCTGCACCTCAAGGCAGGCAGCCCACATCATACACCCAGAAACCCAAAGTGATGTCAGTGGGGCAAGTCAGTCACTAACTGTGTCAGCTCTGAATTTTGCAAGGTTTTGGAATGCCTAGATCATGATACTACTACTACTATGTGTTCAGGTCATATTTGATAAATGGATTGCAAGAATGATTTAATACAGTTGGAAAGTTCAACATCTTTAAAGAAAAACTCCACAAGCTAAAGAAATAATTTTTCTATAGTAATGACTATTACTATTTGCTGTTTTTTAATTTTCATAAGGACAGATAATATAAAATGTTTATTAATACATAGGCAATAAAGTTCTACACTTCCTCCTCCTATCCACCCCCCCCCCCACTTACACCCAGGAGCTCCATTCTCGCCTTTGTACTCTTATGCCCATCACTGGTGCCTCTGTTGTGATCACCAGCTCTGTACTGCGTGCTTTGTGTCACTCCCCTGTTGTAAGGTTCTCATTCCTCAAAGTCAGGGACCGATCTTACCCCTTCCAAAGCCAGGCACATTACCCCTCTCCCATGTCACATTTGCATTTTTGCTTTTGTAGGCCATCTCTTTCCTCATCTAAATGGACACCTGCTGTCACCTGCTGTTGGGGTGGTGATGTAGCCCACTGTATGTCATCAGAATATCAATCCAAGTTACAGGGCCCCAGACAACCTCACCCTTTTATTGTAAATCCCTGCAGTACCATCTGGGACATTTTTGTAATGATTTACAATGAGAGAAAAGATCGATATAGTTTACAAGTCAGTTCCCTCAGTGAAGATCATCATACCAGACATTGGAGGTGGAGGTGCTGGATGAGGCCTAAGAGCCCACGAGAGTGTAGGGGGTGACTGGTGCCCATGAATGGTACTGAGGGGATACCCATGGGGCTCAGGCACATAGGTGAATCCTAGGAAAGAAGAGGATAGTCCTACATCCATATTGAAGGGCAGAGCACAAGTTCACGTGTACAAATATATCAGTCTGATGGATGCAAGCAACACCAATGAATGCTGAACCAGAGTAGAGGAAGGGATAGGCGCTTCTCCACCTGATATCAAATAAGGAGCATCAGAGTCACAAAACTCTCCTATTTCACTGGGTCCTGGCAGCCTGAGGAATGAAGGGAAGTCACAGGGATAAATGGATGTGGCATCACATCTGCATGTGTGCAGGCAAAGAACAAAGAAGGCAGGGACTATCGCAGAACATAAGCAGAGCCTTTACTGGTTTGCCGAGTTAAAGAAACATTCCATAGACAACGTCTATGTCCAGGGCCACCCCAGCCTCCCATCCTTAGTTATGTTCTCCAGGGCTGTGGATATCATTGATCACCCACGTGGAAATCTGATGAATTTTCTCTCTTAAAATGCACAGTCCCCTTGGAGATACCTGAAAGGTCAATCATGACAGATTGGTTTTCCTCCACCACCCACTGGAATTCAAATTTGAAGCCCAAGCTATTGTATGACATAGAAAAGTGACATATCCACCTTCGTTTGAGTTTCTATAAAGTTAGAAAGTTAGAGTTAAGATGATTTGCTGCTAAGGCCTTATACTTTTTACTAATGTTTTATTTACTCTTTAAATCCATTCATGAGAGAGACTTGTGAAACCTCTCACCATGCTTGTATGTTAGGTTCTACCTGAAGTACTGTGATCAGTTTTTTTGGTATATTTTGTCCCCATCAGTGACTGTGGGAAACATGAGGAGTTCCAACAGAAAGGATCTACCCAGAAGGGGGCCACTGAGGAGCTACAGGAATAACCAGAGTCAGAAGTAGAAAGAAGTTTGCAGAGGTTCTGTTCTTGGTTTGTCTCCTTGTGCTGGCTCAGCCGGGCAGGGTTGTTCTACACATCAGGTGGGGTTACATGGCAGGGAATTGGTCAGGAGAGTATGAACATCCCAGGTGGGAGAGGTGACCACCAAAGAGGAGAACAGAGACCCAGAGTCCTGGTTTGTGCCATCCCTCACTTACTCCTGAGACTCCCATCCTTATGTGTGCCCAACTGGTCTGTGGATCATCTCCCACTGACCTCTGAACCCTGCTCCCAAACCCTACTTTGACCCTGACACTCTTCACCCTGCTCTCCTCTTCCTGCCACACTGCTCCTCATCCCCAACCTAATTGTGACCTATTACTGCCACACCCCATCCCCCACCTAATGGATAGCCAATCACTGCCCTGCCCTGTTGGCAAGCCAATTGTGAGCTCAGTCCTTGCCCCGCCCTAAGTGAACCCTTCTCCTCTACCCCCCACCCTAGTCTCTCACTCCTGGTAACTCAGTGCACTGAGAGGACCCGGACATGAAGGTATGGAGGTGGATCTTCTGGCTCCCTGTGCTGGGGTTGCCCAGTCACACAGCACAGAATGTGAGTAAACACCAGATTCACTTTGGTCTCTTTCCTTCTATTGGCTGTGTCCCACTGTGGTTTAGATAACACCATTTCACTGGCTCTTGCACAGCCATCCAGTCCTTTCCAAAGATGAAGTTAGATGAAAGTTAGACATCACAGGTGTCGTGGCCAGGCTGACAAACCTCTGCCACACCTGTGGCATCAACTTCTGCTTGATCAACAGCAGGAAAGCCTGACAGGGTGGAATCCTGGAAACAGTAACCTCATAGTATCAAAAGAGGATGTGTGGATATGCTAGAAGCCACTGGATTACATGTTGTAGTGGTGAAAATAACACAGGAAAACTGATTTCTTAGGAGTCGTGATTGTTAGCCTGGTTCCTGCAGGATCTGTGGGAGATCCTCAGCTGCTGCTCCTTTGGTACCATCACACATGTAGCAGTGTCACTGAGATAAGACTCATGTGTCTTGACACCAGGCAGCCTTGAAACAGTGGTTCCGAGTGGGTGGTATTAGTACTAGATTGTTGCACGTGAACTGTCACTTCTGCTGTGGATTATCTGCTTTGTTGACTTTTGTTAACTTTTGAATTGTTCTTTTCCTCAGCTCTTGGAGGCTGTCCCTAGGAACTCTATTTGAAGGGAGCCCAGAGACAGACATGAGATGTGAAAATAAGTATCTGCATCCTGCTTTTATGAGCTCATAAAAAATCCAAATCATTCAAAAGAGAAGGGGAATAGGAAGAAATTAGAAATTGAAGGATGCATAGAAATGGAAAACTCTCAAACGATTCTCATTTTTCATTTATCATTTAAAGTTGACAAATTTGCTTACCCTAGTTCTAAACCTCTTAATTATTAAGAGATTTTCTGTTTTTCCTAGGTACAGTTCCAAGAAGACAACCACACTTCCTCACTGCCCTGCTCCTCGCCCAATCCCCTTCCAACTCTCCCCTCTCATCAGTTTTTGCAAAGCCATCATTTTAATCCAAACTATATTCAAAAACTTAATTCACCACTAATATTCACAAGTAAAAATTAGGAAGACTGCAGTTCAACAGGAGTATAAACAGGAGCTACATATGACAATAATAGTCCAAAATGGGCATTTCATTCCTATAGATTTTTTGGTATTCTATATTAACTGCCATATATCTTAGAAAACATATAATATTTGTCTTTATTGAGATTGGCTTATGTCACTAAGCACAATGGTTTCCAATTGGATCCATTTTGTTGCAAAAGACAGGACTCCATTCTTTTTTTTTTCTTTTTTGACAGTCAGAGTGAACAGTGAGAGAGACAGGGAGAAAGGTCTTCCTTTTTGCCGTTGGTTCACCCTCCAATGGCATATATACACACATATATATATATATACACATATATACATAGATATTTATATACATATAATTTTTTTTGACAGGCAGAGTGTACAGTGAGAGAGAGAGGGAGAGAAAGGTCTTCCTTTGCCATTGGTTCACCCTCCAATGGCCGCCGCGGCCGGCGTGCTGCGGCTGGTGCACCACACTGATCCGATGGCAGGAGCCAGGTACTTATCCTGGTCTCCCATGGGTGCAGGGCCCAAGCACTTGGGCCATCCTCCACTGCACTCCCTGGCCACAGCAGAGACCTGGCCTGGAAGAGGGGCAACCGGGACAGAATCTGGCGCCCCGACTGGGACTAGAACCCGGTGTGCCGGCGCCGCAAGGTGGAGGATTAGCCTAGTGAGCCACGGCGCCGGCGACATATAAATTATTATAATGTTAATGTTTATATCAATTTAGATTAAAACATATTACATTTCTTCTAGAATTTCATATAAATAGATGCATGCGTGCCATATGGACTATTTTGTATCACCTGATTCTGCTCAGGACAATATGTCTGAGAGAATTCATGTTGCAGTATGGATCAGTAATTCATTTGTTTCCATTCCCGACTCATCTGAGTTATTTCTACTGAATGAACATCTCTGTTTAATTCACCATTCTATAGGAATTGTTTAGGGTTAAGGTGCCAAATTTCAACAAATACACAGTTAAATCCAAAGCAACCTATGTAGAAAAGTTGTAAATAAAAGTGTTAACTTACTCAGCTGAAACATTTGTCTTAATTCACATAGTGGATCAATAGAATTTATATGAAGACTGTTAAAAATTCTTGTGTTTTGGTGCTACCATTGTTCTTGCCACTTTTGATTTTATTTAAGCATTAAAATTTGATTTTCTCCTTATAAGCTTTTCACTCACGTTTTGATGGGTACTGGTATTTAAAAGAAATCATCAATACAAGAGAAGATGTGGTAGAGAGGAACTCTCGCCCAGTATTAGACAAAGGAGAGTACAGGGCCCACAATGAACCAGGATACTCTGTGCTCAAAGGCACCCACACAGATATCTAACAACACTACCAACCACCCAAGCAACTTGAGGCTGGCAAGCTATGCTTATTTTTAAACTTTAATTCATTAATTTTTATTTGTATTTTAAAAGTGCAAAGAGACAAGGACAGATGTTCTCCACCTCACCTGCTGGGTCACTCTCCCAGTTTTTACAATAGCCAAGGATGAGCCAAGCCCAAGGCCAGGAGCCTGGAATTCAGTCCAGTTTTTCCACCTGTACAGTAGACACCCATATACATCCTTGAGCTGTCATCTGCTAACTCCCAGGGGGCACATTATCAGGAAGATAGAATGGAAGTAAAGCCAGGACTCAAACCCAGGCACTCTGATGTGGGATACATGCATCACCAGTGGGGTCTTAGCCATTGTGCCAGACACCAGGACCCCAGTCTATCTAGAAGCAAGGAAATCCCCTTGAGTCAGTTGAGGGACATGATTACTCCTTGCAGGCTGACCTAGGGTTCTTAGCAACTGAAATACAGTCAATGTCTGTGTCTTCTCACTGTTTCCAATGTTTTATTGCAGCTATCTCAGAACTTTCCTGACCATTTTCAGCTCAGTACTGATTTTGGGGGGATTTTTCGGAAGCTTATCATTATTGCTACAGTCGTAGCTATTTCGGCATTTGCCATTTTCTTCTGGACAACTGTTCTTGTTGTGAGTATACTAGGAGTGTTTTATATGATAAATAAGGAGGAATTTGTATAGTAATTGCATTTGCACCTGGTAAAATCAGTCCTCCTCCATTCATTGTTTTCCCCATAACCCACAAATTTTAATAAGGTTGTTTTCATTATAATTTGGATTGAAACATTTTTTAAGTCTGGAAAGATTGACCTATGTGTTCTTTTGAAATTGTGATGTAATCTCCAAATGCTTTGTAGTTTTCAAATTCCCTGATTCATTTCTAGCTTACTTTCACTGTCCTGAGAGCAAACATTCTATGATTCCTACTCCTTTCCATTTGGTAAAGTGAACTTATGTCTTGAGTGAATGGAGTAAATGTGCTGTGTGAGCCCACATGAGTGTATTCCGTTTTGCTGGTTGAATTATTCTGTAGTGTGGACTGATTCAGCAGATTATCAGTGCTGTTCAGTTATTCTGAATCTTTACTGACTTTCTTCCTGCTGGATCTGCCAGTGACTGAGGGAGGAGTGGGGGTGAATTCATCTATTTCTAGTTGCAGTGCAGTTTTGCCTCATGAATATTGAAGCTCTGTTGTTAGGCATTTATACATTAAGGGTTGTCATGTCTTCTTGAAAAATGGATCCTTTATCATTATTGTAATACCATGTGATCCTTGAATGCTCCTTGCATTGTGCTTGTTTTGTGTGAAACTGAAATAGCTACTCCAGCTTTCTTTTGATTAGTTCTAACTGTACATTTTTCTCTAACCCACTTTTAATGCATTTATAGCTTGGATTTGAAAATGGGCTCCTGGTATACATTCATTAGCTGGGAATTATTTTTTAATCCACTCTACAGTCACTGTCTTTTAATTAGTGTATTTACTTTATTAGCATTTAAAATTATTAATGATATAATTGGTTTAACATCTATCACCTTTATGGCTGTTTTTTATTCATTGTCCCCTTTTGCCTTACACTCTTTATATGCCTTTTCAGGGCCTAACTTAGAATCTTGCAAGTTTTATTTCATTGTGTTTAGCACACCAATTATACTTGAACTTATCTTTTTTGTTGTCTTTTTTGAAAGTGGTTCTCCCTGAATTGGAAATACACATTTTAAAAAGTAATCCAATTCACAGGAAATGAAATTTATGTTGTAAAAGGTGACTCCACAAACTCCGTCCCATTTCTTACAACACTGCTATAATCCATAAGCTATAATCGCCATATGTATTGCTATTACTACTTTGTTCAGTTATATTAAGCAAAGTGTTGTCTGAGAAACCAATCAGTAAGATAACAACTTTGCCCTCACTTACTCCTTTGCCTATTGCTCTTGCACTATGTAGATCCAAGTAGCTGACATATATTCGCTTCCTTCTGTCTGAAGAGCCTCTTTTAAAATCTTTGTAGTGTGGCTTATGAGAAAGAGAGTTCTGGCTGGCGCCGCGGCTCACTGGGCTAATCCTCCACCTTGAGGTGCCGGCACTCCGGGTTCTAGTCCCAGTCAGGGCGCCGGATTCTGTCCCAGTTGCCCCTCTTCCAGGCCAGCTCTCCTGTGGCCCGGGAAGGCAGTGGAGGATGGCCCAAGTGCTTGGGCCCTGCACCCCATGGGAGACCAGGATAAGTACCTGTCTCCTGCCATCGGATCAGCGTGGTGCGCTGGCCGTGGCGCGCCAGCCGCGGCGGCCATTGGAGGGTGAACCAACCAATGGCAAAGGAAGACCTTTCTCTCTGTCTCTCTCTCTCACTGTCCACTCTGCCTGTCAAAAAAAAAAAAGAAGAAAGAAAGAAAGAGAGAGTTCTTTGATGTTTTTCTTAGAAAGTCTGTGTCCATTTTGGAAGGGTAATTTATCTGAGTGTGATTCTAATGCTTGCCTTCTCAAATCAAACTGATTATTTTGTCTTTTAATATGCCTTCTAATTCTTTACTAAAATCACAACATTACATTAAGTGAAAGGAACTGATTTACACAGGTCCTTTGTGAGAGATTTTATGGGTATCTTGGTAGAAGTTTAGCTGGCATTACAGTTTACAGGTACTGAAAGTGGCAGAGACTGATGGCAAGGGCTTGGGCCATCTTCTACTGTGTTCCCAGGCCATAACAGAGAGCTGGATCAGAAGAGGAGCACCCAGGACTCGAACCAGCACCAATATGGGATGCCAGCACTTCAGGCCAGGGCTTTAACCCAATGCGCCACAGTGCCAGCCCCCATCCAACTGTATTTTAAAATTTGTAAGGTGTTTCTAGTGAATCAAAAAAGTGTACTGCAGTACAAATGTTTTAGAATTTATTCTGTTTTCATAGAGGCTTTTCTTGTTTAAGATTTCATTATAGATATTGGGTTTCCCCCCAAACAAATCAAATAATGTATTTGCATTCTAATTATGAATTTTGCCATTTCTAGGATAAAAATTAAATAGATTAGTTTTCCTTTAATAAAATGGAAATAGGTGTTTTGGTCAAAAATAACTGTTTACCTTTCTACCCTATCAGAAATGGTTTAATGAAAGATCACAATGAAGTAGGAAATATCTTCCATTTTTTTTTTTGACAGGCAGAGTGGACAGTGAGAGAGAGAGAGACAGAGAGAAAGGTCTTCCTTTTGCCATTGGTTCACCCTCCAATGGCCACCGCGGCTGGCACGCTGCGGCCGGCGCACCGCGCTGATCTGAAGGCAGGAGCCAGGTGCTTCTCCTGGTCTCCCATGGGTGCAGGGCCCAAGCACTTGGGCCATCTTCCACTGCACTCCCAGGCCATAGCAGAGAGCTGGCCTGGAAGAGGGGCAACTGGGACAGACTCCAGCGCCCCGACCGGGACTAGAACCCAGTGTGCTGGCGCCGCTAGGTGGAGGATTAGCCTGTTGAGCCGAGGCACCAGCTTCTTTCATTGTTTTTAATCTTTTAGAAGTCCTTTAAGCTAAATGACTGTTATTTCACTAGATTAGTGTTTTTACTTTCATCAGGAACAACATGTATTTCCTAATATATATTATTATAATAAGGTTAACTTTGTTTCTTCCTTGTCCTAGATAAAACAGCCAGTTTATCAAGGTAAGATTTTAGCCTCTGTTTTCTTTATAATACTTTTCTCAGTGCTGGTATTAGATGTGAGCTTTTATTAAACTAGCTCTAAGTACAGTAATTTTTATAACTTCCTGGCTTATTACTTCTTGAAGGTTTTAGTATTCCTGGAGTGGTTTCTAAATGACAATGGAGAGGGACTCGTGATCTGTTGTAAAAATGCAGGAAGAAGAAGCATTAGTGGGCATAGGAGACTGAAATGAGTTTAGCTTCGCCTAGAAATGTTTAAGAAGAAAGTGATGCTGGCCAGCGCCGCAGCTCACTAGGCTAATCCTCCGCCTTGTGGCGCCGGCACACCGGGTTCTAGTCCCTTTCTGGGCTCCGGATTCTGTCCCGGTTGCCCCTCTTCCAGGCCAGCTCTCTGCTGTGGCCAGGGAGTGCAGTGGAGGATGGCCCAAGTGCATGGGCCCTGCACCCCATGGGAGACTAGGAGGAAGCACCTGGCTCCTGCCATTGGATCAGCGTGGTGCGCCGGCCACGGCAGCCTCCATTGGAGGGTGAACCAACAGCAAAGGAAGACTTTTCTCTCTGTCTCTCTCACTGTCCACTCTGCCTGTCAAAAAAAAAAAAAGCAAGTGATACTAATATTTTTTTAAAAAAATTATATAATGTGAACCTATCAAAAAGCTTAAGACTTAGAAAAGATCTGGTTTTCTGGGGGAGGGGAGAATGTGTCAAGATATTTACGTGGAAAGTCTTTAATGCCGGAGCAGAAAGAGCAGAAATGATACATAACGTGGAAGAAGGTTTCATATAGGCTTTATGGGCAATAAATAAGTGTTGCTATCTATTGAGAGCCAAAGCTGCCAGACACATAATAGGCCCAACACGTTTTATTTTTACAGGTCTATTTAGTTTATTTGAAAGGCAGAGTTGAGAGAGCAAGAGGGAGTGAATTCCATCTGCTGGTTCACTCTCCAAATGGCTGCAATGGCTGGGCTGGGCCAGGTTGAAGCCAGAAGCTTTATCCTGGTCTCCCACATGTGTGACAGGGGCTCAAGCACTTGGGCCATCATCCAACATTTCCCCAGGCTATTAGCAGGGAGTTGGATAAGAGTTAGAGCACCCAGGACACGAACCAGCACCCACATGGGTTCCTGACATAGCAGGTGGAGAATCAACCCGCTATACCACAGCAATGGCTCTGTGTGTTTATTTTTTATACTGAATTTATCACTGGTCATGTTTGAAAGTGTGATTTCAGGGCAGCAGAGCTCATATCATGGGCAAATACAAAACAAAAATAAGGATGCATCTGAGGTCAGATGAGAGAACTAAAAGACTGTCAGAGGAGTCCTTTAGGTGTTTATGTGAGCCATCCACCTTACAGGATGGGTGCATCAGGGCACGATGTTCACTTTTATGGTAGACAGTAGCATTCTGATCTTGGTAGTGGAAAGTCCTATCTGAGAGGGTTGGGAGCTCATCCAGATCCCGTAGAGACTAAGTGGTAACAGGTTGTATTAAATTATTCTATACTTCAAAACCATCTCTCCAGAGCCCTCCATTCTGCTTCTTGTGAAAGACAATCCTCAGGACAGCAGGAAGTCTTTGGAGGCCCTGGTAGCCAATCGATTGACACTTTGAACACTGCTTTCATGGGAATTTCTAATGATGGTATTTGAGGAAGGAACATAATTATCTACCTTCATAATTAGGGAATAGAAATGCAAGTAGCTAGGGTGTTTGATTTCTGTTTCTTCTCTGGTGAAGACAAAACTATTTGAAGTAATGGAATTTTCTTTTTTTTCTTCTTTTATTGATAAGCTGAGTTAGACAGTGAGAGAGAGAGAAAGGTCTTCCTTCTGTTGGTTCACCCCCTAAATGGCCACTATGGCCTGCGTACTGCACCAATCCGAAGCCAGGAGCCAGGTGCTTCCTCCCAGTCTCCTATGTGGGTGCAGGGGCCCAAGCACTTTGACCATCCTCCACTGCCTTTCCGGGCCACAACAGAAAGCTGCACTGGAAGAGGAGCAACTGGGACCAGTACCTGGTGCTCCAACCAGGACTAGAACCCGGGGTGCCAGCACCGCAGTTGGAGGATTAGCCTAGTGAGCCACAGCGCCTGCCAAGTAATGGAATTTTCTAAGAATGAAGTGCCATCTTCCATTGATGAGAGTACTTCAATGAAAATATGTATTTCCCATGTTTCCAATAATTTCAAATAGGATTATAATTGACATTTGGTTCTTATTTCCTACTAGTTATATTGGTTTTAAAATTACTGTAAGTAAAGTTTGCTTTCTTCAGGCTTAGTAGTGAAGTTAGGAAGTTATTTTCTGGCCATAATGCCAGATAACAAGTAATTTCTGCTAATACATTGAGGTAATTCAACTATATTGTTTTATGCTTTATAATCTTAGTTTTTATCTCCCCTTAGTTAATTTGCAGCAAATTTCTGAGAAGATCAATAATGTCACGAAAGAAAATGCAGAACTTGTACAACAAATTTCTGTTTTGGAACAGAAGGTATCAATGTGCTTTCAATTTTCATATTTTTCATGGTTTCAGTTTGAGTCACTTCCACGTCTAGTTCAGGTATTCCACTGTACCCTCTTTCATCCACTGCCCTGCTTCATAAGATCTGTAATCTCTTCACATGTGAAGTCAGCCTCCTGCATGCAAAGTGCTGCTCTGTTCACTTGTGTACTGAATCATACATGAGGATAGGTGTTATGTGGCCCTCTAACATTTTTGTATTCTGATTCTTTATTACATATACATATAGATCACTGAGTCGAGAAAACGTCTTCAGGAGACTAAAAGACAAAAAAAGGTGGTCTCTGATGAATCAATTAAACTTAAGGTAATAACCCTTTGCCTTTATGGAATCCATTATAAAAACAAGTAAAAGAAATAAATATTCCTGATGCAATATGCTGTATTGAAGGATAATGCAAAAAAAAAAGTGACAACACTAAAACTACCACGTACAAGGTACATATAACCTGCAGTCTGGAAGAGATCAGAATGCTAAGAATCATGATGTGGTAGTAATTTGGCTCCTATATTTTACCATAATTTGGCTTCTGAGCCTTTTTGTCCATTTAGTGATCCAGCTGGTACATTTTCTATTGCTTTTCACAGAGTAAAAGTCTAAGAGTATGGGGGATGAACTTTCTTCTGAAAAAATGTTCAATGTTATTGTAAAAAATACTGAAGTAACATCTTAAATTGAGGGATCCAAGAAGTGTGTTTGATTTCCTGTCTGGGCAATTATCACAATATTCATTGCTGTCCTGCAAGATATTTAGGAAATGTGTGAATAGTTAAGGAATATTAAGGGGGTAGGGACTGTTTAGATGAACTTAAACAGCCCCTACCCCTCTTAATGCTCAGTAAAAAAAATTATCAGTGAAATCTGAGAGTTATTTTTATTCCTTTATTAATATTCTTTTTTTTTAACTTTTATTTAATGAATATAAATTTCCAAAGTACGATTTATGGATTACAATGGCTTCCCCCACATACCGTCCCTCCCACCCACTACCCTCCCCTTTCCCACTCCCTCTCCCCTTCCATTCATATCAAGATTCATTTTCAATTATCTTAATATACAGAAGATCAGCTTAGTATACATTAAGTAAGTATTTCAACAGTTTGCTCCCACACAGAAACATAAAGTGAAAAATAATAGATGATTTTTTTTAAATGCCTTATTAATATCCTAATAAGAAAAGCTGTTCCATTAAGAAAAGTTCATTCGGGAATTGATAATTTCTTTCTTTCTTTTTTTTTTTTTTTTACAGAAGATCATTTCTCTCATTATTTCCTAAGCAGAAAGATTGTTTATGCCACAAAGTATTCTTACTTCAGTGTGTTTTCCCCCTCATTTCATTATATTCTTGACATTTCTTCTAGACCCAATCTGGATCCATGACATGCCCATAACATATAGAGTTAGCCGTGGGATGTGCTTGGTTGCTATTTCAGCTTTTTAGCTGTTTCAGCTGGTGTTGTCATGGAATTAAAAAGCACTTCAATTAATTCTTTCTCCATTTGACTTTATAAATAGAGATGCAGACTAGCACAGTGCTCTCGTTTGTGGATTCACCCCTCAAATGCCTATGATAGCCATGGGTCAGCCAGGTCAGTGGTAGGAAACTAGAACTCAGTTTGTGTTCTCATGTGGTTGGCAGGGACCCAGGTACTTGATCCATCAATGGCTGCTGTGCAGGGTGTGCATTAGCAGGAAGATAAATTTGGGAGCAGAGCCAGGGCATTAAGTCAAGCAGTCCAATATGGAATACATGTTTCCCAAGCAGAGTCTTAACCACCATGTGAAACTCCTGCCTCTTTTTGTAAACCTTAGCACTTGTTTTGTTTCTATCTTATGTGCAGGCATTTGAAAAAGGGAAATCTACTGAAAACTTGAAAGAAGTTATTTCAATGAACAACTCGGAAATTTCCGAGGTAAACTTTCTATAATTGTTTCAATATTTCAATTGTACATTTTAGCTCTAATGAGAAATATTTCATTTTTGAAGATTAAATTTATATGATAACTATGTGGAATTTTGTTCTTGTGAAGTAACTAATTACAGTGTTTTCAGTTAAGATCCAATCACCTTTAATGAAACTGCTTCAGTGAAGGGAAATTGAAGTTATAAAAGTAAAATACTTAGTTGACAATCTAGTAGGAGCAGGTAACAAAATTAGTCACATTCTTGAAGAGACTGTGATCCAGAAAACTGAACTTTCTCATTTCCTTTTTACTTGTTTTAAATTAGTTGTTCTAAACTAAAATTAACTATAAAGTCTGTGGTGATGTAAAATTATCTATTGAACAATATGTGTGTGCATTTCTGTAGTAGTAATGACATTTGCATTGTTCTGCAACCATTTCTTGAATGTCTTTTCTTAAAAATCTCTTAAAGTCAGAAGATGAAAATGATGGAGCCAAGGATTTACAGCTGAGAGCCTTGAGGGCCAAAATATGGATGCTGGAAGGTACGTTCCTTCATTAGAGGGAGGCCCTGTCTAGTGTAAATACATCTGCATTGGGAGGGTGAAGAGTGGTTCCTGTCTCCAGGGTCCTTGCTGTTTCTCCCAACTCCAGCCAACTCCTTGGGTCCATGTGCACACACAAAGAAAACTTTTATCCTTTACAGAAAGTAAAAAGAACCTGGAAAAAAGCTGTAATACCTTGAAGTCCATGAAAGCAGCAAAGGAAGCTGAAATCAAACTGATGGATGTGAATATGGAGAGTTTTCATGAAATCTACAAACTGAAGGTGGCAGCTGCTGCAAAGTAAGATGTCCTGAACTGACTCAGTAATGTCAGTGCTAATTTCAGTCAGTAAAGAATTCTCATACTTTTTGCCTTGATTCCCATAATATGCATTTTTCTGTTCCTTTCAACTGTTGGTTATACACTCCCTTGTAATTTATTTGTGGGTACTGGAAGAACTGATACCAGCATCATTAATGTCCATGTCTGCATTCTATCTCTCTCTCTTTTTTTAATTATTTATTTACTTGAGAGGAAGGGTTACAGCGAGAAGGAGAGACAGAGGTAAAGGTCTTCAGTCTGCTGGTTAACTCTCTAAAGGGCCACAATGGAGGGAGCTGAGCCGATACAAAGCCAGGAGACAGGAGCTTCTTCTGGGTGCAGATGCAGGGGCCCAAAGATTTGGACAAATCCTCCACTGCATTGGTTTTTTTGGTCATATCATGTATTTTGTTTTCCTTCTTGTGTCTAGTATATTGTTGGGGTTTTTGGTCATATTGTATTTTGTTTTCCTTCTTGTGTCTAGTCATTTCTAATTGAAGTAAAAATATTGGGAAAAAATTAAAATGTGGTGTGATGTGATCTAGCTTTGGAAAATAAGGAGATGGCCTCAGGCAAGGATACTGGCAGTATGGGAGCTGTTAATTCATTCAGCAGCTGAGGGCATTCATTGCAAAGGCCAGTGTATGTCCTCTCCTCCATTCATAGTGTTCCAAGCAAAGCTGTGAGATTTTCCAGTCAGACCCTGAACTCCACTGTATTCCTTTGAACCCATCTATGTGAGCAAAGGCTGCCCATAATTACCTCTCTCTAGTCTCCTAGAGAATTCTTTCATGATCTACAGGGAAATGGGCCTCAAATGCCAGCTGAGATGCCAGGTCAATCTTGTTTCCAAGATTCCTTCTTCTCCATGTTGCTCCCACATGTCCTTGCTGACGTGTAGTGATTCAGTCTATTCCATTGTATACCTCATGTTTGTCCAGTGTTTCCTACTGTTCTCGGGGGAGATCCAGGACTTCATCCACACTCACCCATGTTCAAAACCAGAACTCTTCCTTATGGTCCCCCATGGCTCAGACTTGGAATAATATTTCCAAAGTCTGAGGCGAGTGTTGCTGTTGTCCTTACTAGTATGTTGTGGGTTTTTAAGGTAGGAACAGTGCCTACTCTACTTTGTATCCTTGGCACCTAAAGACACAAAGAATTTACCAAGGACTTCCAAGGCATTAACCCTCTCCATTGTTTTGTGCCTGTGTCCTACAGCTGTTGGCGTTTTATGGGTAATGTGGATTAAAGCAGATATCAAAGGGAGACTCTTTCTAGACCATGGGCTTTTGCTGCCTGCATTCTCAGTGATTGCCACTATGTAGAAGTAAATAGCACTGGGGCCGAGGGCTTCGCAGACAAAGCTGCAGGTTCTCAGGAGCTGAGGAAAGCCCCAATAAGGTGGCAGTTCAGGACAGTGTACTTCACTCATGTTGTCAGCACTGGATTTTCCTTCCCTGCATCAGGCTCCCAGCTGTAGGAGGCAGGAGCTCTACCTCTGCATCATAGCAGTGTTCACAGTGACTGCAGTGTTAAGGACTCCATGAGCTGGAAGGATCTCTGTAGATCAGATTGTCTGTATCATGGTCCCAGCCAGACTGTGAATCATGTTCCTCCATGGGCGGAGGCAGACGAGTGAGAACCCCCTGTCTCATCCTAATGGGATTACTAGTGATGAAATGATTTGACCTGCTTTTCCACAAAGGAGTGTTCACCATTTCAAAGTCACAACTGCTTAGTGTCAGGTGCTATGTATATTCATTGACTTATTACTAATGCATAGGAGCACACAGTAATTAGAGAGAACTTGCCAGCTGGCCAATGGATCGTCTTCTGTCAGTGGGAGGCTTCACTTCTGATTCTGCACTGTTTGTGGGTCTGTGTGTTTATACGGATGCCTGCAAGGGGACTTTCCCATCATGCACTCAGACTGTTAGCAAGCGGGGAGGCATAATCCCACATGGGCTTCTGGGAAATATGCATTTCTTTCCCATCCTAGGAAGATGGCAGGGAAACAACAAGAGTGGATGGAAAAGGAGACGAAGCTGTCAGAGAAGGAGGAGAATTTGAAACGGGCTGAAGAAGAAATTGAGAACTATATGTGAGTCTAGAGACTATACAACCAGTCCAGAAACAATGGTTGGATTAACTGTTTAATGCTTAGGCCCAGTTAAAAGATAACTGTAAGCAATGTTCAAGAGACATAGAGACAATTCATACAAGATTATACCAAGTATTTTAAGTTTACAAATGACCAAGTGATACTGTTTCTACACAGTTCCTGATTCCAAATGCTGGCCTGACTGCATGGAAACTGGATTGTTTTTTGGGGTGGTGAGAATCCACCTTCCTAATCCTTAGGAAGACAGCTCATTGTAGGATGGATCAAATCCATTACAATGATTGTCCCCATTTTATAGACCCGGTTCTTGCTGCCCTCAGAAACATGGCAAGGATATAAGTAATAGAATGGACTTTTATGATAAAAGACACACAAGAGAGGAAAAACTAGGGAAATAAGGAGATGACATCAGCTGGGAATCCTGCAGGTATAACATAAAGGATAAGGAAATGATGCAGCAGTAGGGCTTACTCTTTCTGTACTGTTACAATCATGGTGAGTATTTTTGACATCTGAGGATAGGGTAACATGGGGAAGCTGTTTAACTTCATAGTCAACATTGTGCTTCATCTGATGAAAGTGATTCTGAATCACAGGAGAAGACTGCAAGAAATGCAGGCTCAGCAGCAGCGAGAAAAGGAGACCTTCAGACAGGAGGTAACTGCATGCTGCCCAATAGCTGCACCATCCTACACGTCCTAATGTGGATGGTTAAAGGGCCCCTGAGAGTCCCTAAGCCCTCACTTTCTGTGTTGGCCTTTTCAGATTGCTGTTCATAAACAAAAGGCTCGTGACGTTGAGGTAAAAATTTTTCATATGTTCTTTCCATTCTGCCCTCTTTTCCACAACTGAATGTGCATGTGTTTCCCTCCCCACAGCTCAGGGCTCAAGCTCTGGAGCGGGAGTTGATGGTGCAGAAGAGGGAGACTGCCCACTTGAAACACAGGTGCATGAAAGAGCAGGCATTTTAAGCGTGTCTCTGATTAGAGACTAAGTTGTTGAGTGTCTAGTAAAGGACTTGTTCTGGGGTGTGTATGTGTGTGTTCTGTTACTTAAATCTGTTTTTTCTCTATCTTCAAGATTGGAAATAATGCAGGCAGAGGAATCCAGGAGGCAGAAGCCAGTGTCAGGGGGACCTGGCTGGGAGAACCCTCCACAGAGAGGTAGGAGCAGTGTGGAAGGACGGTGATAGCTTCATGTCCCCTGCAGATTCCACACCCTCAGCTTCTCACTCTGGGCAGTGATTGTTCCATTTCCTGAAGAGTTCCATGCACTTAGCAAAGAGAAATGATTGTCCTGCAGGGAGGCTGGGTGCTGTTTTCCTCATGTGCCCTGGACAAGTGGCTCTTCAACCAGACCCCAGGCAGGGTAGAACTCAGACCCCAATACTGACTGGGGACTCTCCTGAACTGCACCTGAACTCAGTTCTTTTTAACTGACAATAAGGGCATAGAAGGGAACCTGGCCAGATCCTCCTGTCCACCTTGAGTCAGTGGTAGAGGCCTTAGCAGCACCAACAGTACTTGACAGTAAAGGTTGTGCATCCTGATAAGAGAGGAAATGTCCTGGACTATCATCCCTCTAGTAATGTTCTGCAAGCTCTGCTTTACATCAGTCAGCCTGTGTTCTTTTTTGTTTTTTTTTCTTTACTGTCAACTATAGAGCTCCATCAGTGAATTAATTTTCTATGTAATTTCACTTCTATAATATTATAACACTCAAATTTTATAATAAACCCAATGAAAACATTTTCCTTTTGTCATCACTCTCATCATTAATATAGTTAAGTCCTTTTCCATTTATAAATAGTTATATCACAACAGATCACATAGATGGCCAGTTACAGAGGGACTAAGATTTTCAGAATCTCCCCATGATTTCAGGGCCTGGGGCTGCTCATGGCCAGGGTTTATTGATATTCTTTATGTCCAAGGATATTCTTAAACTATAATTTCCTCTATACATATTAGGTATGTATATCAACATATCATGTTGATTTCCAGCTAATTTTAGCACTGACTTAGGTACAATGAGTTGGTTTGTGGTGAGAACCCCTGGCACAGGCTAAGGTGGTATCATCCTCAGTGAGGACATGGGCCTCCCCCTTGTACTCAGGGCTCTTCTGAGGCACCTGGTAAACCCTGGGCCTCTGACCAGAGACCTAACATGGGATTGAGTTTAGAGGGTGAAAAGGTGTGTGGGTTTTCTCAACACTGAGGCAGAATAACTCCCCTCCCCGGGTGGTTGGCACTTTGCTACAGCAGGTAAGCTGCCTCTTGGGATGCTTGTGTCCTATATCGGAGGACTGCATGAGACTGAGTCCTGCCTCTGCTTCTGATCTACCTTCCTGCTAATGCACCTGTGAGGCAGCAGATGGTGGCTCAAGCACTTGAGTCCCTGACAAACATGTAGGAGATCTGGATGGTGGTCTTTGCTGCTTGCCTCAGCCTGGCTATTGCTAGCATTTGGGGAGTGAACCTGCAGATGGAATTTGTCTGTCTCTGCCTTTTGAATAAATAAATATATAAACATTTTGTTAAGAAAGAATACACTGCTGTCTCTTGTTGGCCAGATTCCAGAAGTTGTGGAGGTCACATGAAGAACCAAGGCTCATCCCCTGCTGAGGACACCAGGAAGGAACAGGTAATTGCTGTGGTCATTTTCCTTGTAATGATTTCCTGAAACCTGATCATTGCATATACAACACTCTCTCTTCCATTATTTTCTGACTTGTGTGTGCTGTGATACCTTTTCTGTGTCTGTAACTTTTCAAAGCAGCCAAGCCTTCCCCCACAAGCCTGTGGGCCTCTCCTTTTCCAGCTCAGCATCTGTGCTGGTGCTTTACAGGCTGAAGCCTGAAGGTTTGCTTGTCAGTTTCTGGAAATCACTGGCAGAGAAGATGGCTGTGACCTTCAGCCTCATGGCACAGTGACTCCCCCCAAGCTTCTACAACCTGGGAGGTGGCCAGGCCACATTTCATTGTCGGAATAAAATACCTCCTTTCCTGTTTTGATTTAGGTTGTTTAACCATTCAGAACATCTTCACCCACAGAATCCATGACTTTTTGTGTTTTGTTCAATATTGAATTTTGGACAAAGCAAATCACTGTCTCATTTCTCTTGGTAAATGGGCTGTGCAGAAAACCCTCCAGTGGGGCCCTCTGTGGAATATTCTCAAGCTTCAGGGATCATGTTTGCAGAATGGCAAATGCTCACCTGCTGTGAGATAGTGAAAGGTGTTCATCAGCATTTACCTGCAAGGCCAATTCCCAGGAGAGCCTAATTGACGTTCCCATATGCAGATTTTTGTGTGACCTGTGTAGATGCTGATGTTGGTGATTCTCCATTCAGATGCCACTGGACATCTGTAGTTTGAAATGAAAATGTACCTTGTTTTAACTTTCTTATTTCCCACCTTGTTTGTGTAGGAGATAAAAGTAGTGTGCATAGGGAGATTACTGATGCCACAAACAGGAGTGTCAATTGGTAAAGTCAACAACAGGAGTCACTGTGCACTTACCCCTCATGTAGGATCTCTGTCCTTAATGTGCTGTACATTGAGACTTACCTGCAAGGCCAATTCCCAGGAGAGCCTAATTGAGGTTTCCATATGCAGGTTTTTGTGTGACCTCTTTACTTAATGCATACTAAACTGATCTTCTGTAAAAAAAAAAAAAGAAGAAATTATCAATTCCCAACTTGACTCTCACTGGGATTAAACATGACAATAGGTCTGAAAAAAAAAAGTAGTGTGCAGCTCCCAGAGTACTTCCAATTCAGTCTTGCCTATGAATTAAGATCGAAACATGTGCCTACCTAACTCCAGTGGGTAACATGGTTTCTGGAAAATCACATTCCCAGTTTCCCTGCAAGACTCCAGGAATCTGCATTCCGCAGGAGGTCCTGTGTCCAGGGGCAGCACCCCCAGTGAGGAGACCCTCAGCTAGGGAGGGAAGCAGAGAAGATTGGAGAGGCCCTCTAATGTGTGCACAGTGGACTTTCCCCTCCTCCAATGTGCAGGAAATGTCTGTGGATATGTTGGGTAGTCCTTGACATGGAGGTCGTCTGTATGGAGTGTGTGTCTTTATCAGTTTGCCACGGCACTGTTTCTCTGGGACATACCTCTACAGACATGGACAGTGACGTGTGGTGACAGCAGTTCACTCCTCAAACTGTTGGGATCCAGTGGAAGAGGAGAGTTTTGTGGTGCTGAGGCTGCTTATTTAATACCTGGTGGAGAGGAAGGCGCCTACCATTATCACCTGCTGTACTGTGATTCAGTTGTGTTGGTATTGGTGTTGCCCATGATATTAATCTACTTCAAAATGTTAACTTCTGTTCTGCAGGTCAGCATGGCTGCAGGAGGACCTCCTCCTTTCCCAAGACCACCCTACATGCCCTACCCCATGAGGGGCTACAGAGAATCCTTCATGGGCTATCTGCCACCTCCTCCACCCTGGTGGTTTCCAAGACCTCGGCCAGTACCTCTGTCTCCAGAATTTGGTATGATGATCTGCCCTGAATGAACTGACTTGCAAAGTGTACCAGTATCTTTCTCTCATTTTTATTCCTACACAAAATGTCCCAGTGATTCTGCCGGGCTTTGCATTTCAAGGATGAGGCTACCTAAGGGCTCTGTAACTTTGCTCATGATTGATTCTGAGGGCACACAGTGGGCTACATCACAGTCCTAACTTGTGTAGGTGTCTGTTCAGATGAGGAAAGAAGTCATCTATAGAATGCAGAAATAGCAGTTTGGCAGAGCATGGAACCCAGTGTTGGGGAGGGGGGTCATGCTCAGCTCTGTGAGGGATGAGACTTGGCCTTGGCTTTGAGAAGTGCAGGGTCCTGTAGGGTCTCACAATGCTCAGCGCTGGACTGGTCATCGCTGTAATGGAAGTGCCAGCGAAGGACCCCAGTGTGTAAAAGAGGGGGTGAATCTCCTGGGTGTAAATGAGGGGTTGCAAAGAGGAGGAGATGAGGAGGGGCCGTATAGGGTCACATTGAGCTCCCTAAGATGGGGGCTGGAAAGCTGACCTAGCAGGACAGGCGGTGTGAGCAGAGCAGGTAGAGGCTGCCTGGGGTCACACGGAGCTGCTGGAGGAGAGTCCTCATGACCCAGTGTGGGCCAGGGCACCATCCTGCTCAGAGTGCTCTTGTTGTCCTACAGCCCTCAGGCCACAATCTGAAGGAAAAGGGAAGAAGTCTCATGGGTGTGTCCAGGTTCTGCCTGAGTTTATGATGCCCCAAGGATACTGACAATGAAGTCGGCTCTCGATTAGCAGGCAGCTGTCTCTGCCTCACAACAAGAAGCCTCAGGAGTCTCAGCTCCTCCAGACACCCCTGCCTCTCAGTGTCACGCCAGGCAATATGGGTCTCTCTCCCTGTGCCCATGCTGTCCCAGCCCCTGAGGACAGTGCTCTGTGGAGCTGTGACGTGGAGATCCTATTGGTTTCTGAGGATGTTGTTAGCAGGAAGACATTAAGTCCATGGGAAAAGTATTCTACAAATATCTGGTACATATATGCAGCCGTCTTCTATCAAGATCACCAAGAGATGCTCATTAAGTGCATTAGATAAAGCTGGGGGTGCAATAGCTCACACCCAGAGACTTGCAAAATCTGTTTCCTAAGAAAAGGCAAAGTTCCCCTCTCTAGTAATAAAATGCAAATCCTACCTACAAGGTGAAAGAGAAGTGTGCGAATGTGCACAGGTGGAGGCCGAGGTCTGTGGCTGAGATGTGAGGACTGTTGGTTTGAGTGGTGTAAGGACTCTCAGGTACAGCCGCACATGGAACACATCAGGAGCAGACACAACATGGAGGACAAATGTAGAAAGGAAGAAGTCAGTAGATGGGGGAAACAATCCCAATTTCTTTTGTCTTCCAGGAGAGCCATTGTGGAATTGGAATAGGAAGCTCAGTTATCCAGAACAGGCTGTGCCTGTGAGTCAAAAAGCCACCTGATGCCCATTTTCCGAATGTTTTCCCTGTCCCTCGAAGACTCTTCCTCTCTTATCTGTCTGAGTGATTCCCCTAATAAACCTTGTGTGGTGCTGACTTTGCCTAAGTGTCTGCTTCCGGGAAGGCCACTTGATCCCCCTGAGGGGGACACCATGTGATTCACACAGCCCAAACCTGGGCAGAAACTGTGGTGCTGCAGGCTGGAGCAGGGCAGCCATTCCTGGTGGTAATGACCATGAGGGTGCAACCAGTGGTCCAGGCCTTGTCAGGAGCCTGACTTCATCTTGCCAGCTGCTCCCCAGTGGCACCAAGTCCAGGAGGCCTCCAAGAGAAGCTGAATTTGAAACAGATTGATTGACAAGCCCTGTGAGTCCCAAAGTCCTGCAGTTTCTTTATTGAGAAATGGGCAGAGGTGAGTTTTCAGGGGAACCATGGACAAGACTAAAGTAGAATAGAGAGCCTGGAGGCCTGAGGGTGTGAAAGAATCTCAGAGTGAGAGGGAGGGGGAGGGTGGGGAGGGAAGAAGTGGAGGGAGAGGGAGGGGAAGGAGAGTGAGGGAAACATCATGGGAACAGAGATGTGGGGTGCAGAAAAGAAATCCCAGAGACAAAGGGAGAGAGACTGATGGAGAGAGTGATTTGTACAGAGGAAGGAGGAGAGACTGAGGAGCAAAAGGCGAGAAGCAGCATTCACAGGCTGGGCTTTGGGTCAGCCCAGCTCCAGCTGTTGCGGCCATTTGAGAGGGAACCAGAGGATGGAAGACCTCTCTCACTCCTGCTCTGTAACTCTGCTTTTCAAATAAAATAAATCTTAAAAAAAATAAGATAATAACTTTATGATATGTGTACCTTACCAAAATAATTTTAAATGAATTCTTCTTTTCACTCCATTATGGCTCATTTCTTTCAGCTTCATGAAAGTTGTTCCTATGGATTGCAGCAGAAATCCACATGAATAAGGCTGGAGTCTTCTCATTGATGTCAGTCATGGGGAAGGGTAGATCCATGAGCTCAGCCTTTGCAGCATGGCCACTAGGAAGTGAGCCATAGTCCTTTCGATGGAGATAATTTAAATGAATCACACATAGATTAAATTATGTAGTGCCTGGTGCAGATTGGAAGTTAAAGTACAGTTTATGTGCATATTGCAATCGTTATGGTCTGTGCTGGATGTGACTTTTTCTCACAGTACATTAGTGAATATTACCTCTAAAACAAATCCTTCACAGGTTTTTAATACTTCTTAGCAAGATTCCATGAAGATACGAAAATTTTTTTGCTGGATATAGTCAACCACCTATTTGCAATTAGACACAAGGATGGCTAATGCCAGTATTGATTTCAATGTTTTGCTAAAGATCCAGTCTTTCATATGGGTAACCTTGAGCAATAATTATATAATGTACCCCTGATTCCATCTACAGTAATAGAAACATTTCTTTAGCCATTTCAATAATACATCGGCTCTCTAGCTCCTGCAACTCAGTCTAATGCAGGTTTGGGGATCTTCTCCATTTTTTTTTCTAACAGGCAGAGTGGACAGTGAGAGAGAGAGACAGAGAGAAAGGTCTTCCTTTTGCCGTTGGTTCACCCTCCAATGGCCGCCGCGGCTGGCGCGCTGTGGCTGGTGTACCACGCTGATCCAAAGCCAGGAGCCAGGTGCTTCTCCTGGTCTCCCATGCGGGTGCAGGGCCCAAGCACTTGGGCCATCCTCCACTGCACTCCCGGGCCATAGCAGAGAGCTGGCCTGGAAGAGGGGCAACTGGGACAGAATCCGGTGCCCTGACCGGGACTAGAACCCGGTGTGCCAGCGCCTCAGGGCGGAGGATTAGCCTATTGAGCCACAGCACCGGCCTCTTCTCCATCTTAAAACAAGAATCATGTGGCGGACATCAGGCCCAGCAGTTAAGTCACTGGTTAGGACACTCATTAAACTGCCTGTGTTTGGGGCCAGTGCCATGGTGTGGTAGGCTAAGCCTCTGCCTGTGGCACCCACATCCTATAAGAGTGCCAATTGTGTCTTGGCTGCTCCTCTTCCCATCAACCTCTCTGCTAATGGCCTGAGAAAGCAGTGGAAGATGATCCAAGTGCCTGGGCCCCTGCAACTATGAGGGAGACCCAGAAGAAGCTCCTGGCTGCTGGCTTTGGATCAGCCCAGCTCCAACCATTATGGCCATTTGGGGAGTGAATTAGTGGATGGGAGGCCTTTTTCTCTGTCTCTCCCTCTCTTTTGAGTGTAACTCTGCCTCAAATAAATACAAATATTTAAAAAAATAAAAAACTGCATTGCTGCATTCCGAGTAGCAGCCTATGAGTCCAGCTTCCCGCTAATCCGGACCCAGGGAGGCTGTGGTGATGGCTCAGGTGCTTGGGTTCCTGCCACCCACATAAGAGACCTGGATAGAACTTCCAGCTCCCAGTTTCAGCCCTTGGCTGGAGGCAGGCTTTGGGGAGCAATGCAGCAGAGGGCAGCTCTTGTTCTGTCTCTGTGGGTGTGTGTCTGTCCATTGTGTATGTCTTTCTGTCTGTCAGATAAAATTTGGAAAACAGTAGGAATCAGTTTTCATTTTAAAAATTGCTACAGAGATAAAGAAAATGTATTCAAATGCAGTAGCTGAATTACCCCATTTAAATTTCCTCAACTAGAAGAGACAACTTGGAAAACGCTTAAAATTAAATCTTTGCACAAACCTGTACGTACCATAACCATCATTCCTGCCACCACCAAAATGAGGGTTCATGCTCTTCCTCTGGATCTAATCATGCTTTATTCTGGATTTAATCATTCTTTATTTCTACCCCAAGCCTTGATTTCTAATAAACTCTGTAAATCTCAGCTTCATATGGGTGACAGGAGTGACTGCGGAATGGGGGGAGGGGAGGCATACAATTAACTCTTGGAGCCGCTAAGCTCTGATGCTCTCTCTTGTCTCCCTCTCACCCTGTGTCTCAAAAATATAAACAAATCCTATTTAAAAAAATGAAAAGTGCACCCCAGGCAGGAGAGAAAACAAGTTTTCAAAGAGGGCTTGTGTGGGGCACTGTCTTCTAACATGGCTTGGAATTCAGCAAGCATGCATCAACAGGAAGTGCTGCACACAGCTGAAGTCACCTGGCCTGTTTGGGGGACACTAGGGTGGTTGAGGCAGCTGAGGGCTGCCTTTGGGTGACAGCTGGTGGTGATAGTGCCACTTCATCAGGGGAGGGGGTGGGCAGTGGACTCCATGGCGCCCCCTGCTGGGGATGCGTCCCTTGCTTTCAGATCTACAAGGGGCGGCTTCAACCCCAGAGGCTCAGTGAGGAGCCTGGATCCTGACTGGCCTGGCAAGGCCTGTCCACTTCCCGGAGGGTATGGCTCCAGTTCCTGAGGGGATTCATTATTGTTTCAGTGGTGTCTAATTTTCCGGTTTTGCATTGATCATGAAAACATATGTTGTGTAACTGCAGGGGTTAACTGAAATACTGTTTTTTGAAACAATTCAAGTTTTTAGCTGATTTCCCTTATACATACTGGAGTATAATTTGGCAACCACTTGGACTTTTCACAAAACACCCTTTGAAACGCCTTTCTCCCCAACACTGGTCTGATAGAAGATGCGTGTTGTGGAAGCTGCTTTGACTTGCTTGTGCCTGACACTATAATCTCAGGAGCACTGAGCAACCCCAGTGGCGAGCCCCCACCCAGGAGGAGCAGGGCTGTGCATTTGCATCTGGTTCCCTCCCTGTGGATGTCCCCAGCCTGGCTTCCCTTAGAGAAAGGATACATTCTTGCTGCGTGTTCATGTTTGCAGGGTGGAGTGTAGCTTTCTCTTTACAAGTCCTTGCTCCTGGTGGGAGCTGGTGGGGGTGGATTGGAGGAGTGCCCCTCTCTTTCCCCTCCAGCCCTAGTGAAGCAGAAATCAACAGGAAGAGAGAAGCCAGTTAAGGAGTTTGATTGAAACTGTTTAACTTTTGCTCTGCCTGTGGAATGCACGTTTTCATGTGTGAAAACTTAACCCAGATGGTAGACTACTGAATTATAGGATCACAATTTTTAATTTTAGACTCTACTTTTAAACATTCCTCTAGAAAGAAAATATGTCCTTAAAATACTGTTGTCATTGGCCAGCACCACGGCTCACTAGGCTAATCCTCCACCTGTGGTGCCAGCACCCTGGGTTCTAGTCCCGGTTGGGGTGCTGGATTCTGTCCCGGTTGCTCCTCTTCCAGTCCACTGCAGTGGAGGATGGCCCAGGTCCTTGGGCCCTGCACCTGCACCTGGCTCCTGGCTTTGGATTGCCAGCTGTAGGGGCCATTTGGAGGGGTGAACCAATGGAAAAAGGAAGACCTTTCTCTCTGTCTCTCTCTAACTTTGCCTGTCAAAAACAAAATACAGTGTCATAGTGTAGCTCACATAACATGCAAACATGTCACAGGAAGACTAGCACAGAATCTTACTTTTCCTGCCAGAAGATTTTCTGCCATCTTCCTTCTGGTTGCCATTGCGCAAGTCTGTGAGGCAATCACAGGTTTTGCTCATGTGTTTTCTAGTAAAGTAGAGCTGAGGGTGGTGCTTATGGATTAAAGGACTTCACTGTGTGCTTCAAAGTGTTTCATACGATTGAATCCTTCCTGCAGTCTCTCTAATGGAGGGACCGATCATGAAGAAGAGCAGCAGTGCCAGGTAAACCGTGTGATACAGGCTGTAGTTTATACAGTGTGAACAAACCTTAGTCATTCAAGTATATTGCTGTTTACACTACGTTTACCTGGATGATCCCTTTAAAATATTAACATAATAGCACCGTCAAAAAATTCCCTTATATAGTCACAGGAAAATTGCAATTTTTAAACTGCATTTTACAGTATGGTACAAATATTTTATGCTGAACACTTATCTTCAAATCTCTGGCATTCTAAAATTGGCAAGAGATATGACATTATTTCTTTACTGACAAAGTGCTTTTATTTTTATTGAAAATATTTCTGAATATTTTAGGAACGGTCAAACCTTCACCTTTTTTATTGATATTTAAATTCTTTCTGCTTATTTTGATGCTTGCTTAGATGAAGTAGTGTTCATACAATTTAAAAAATTAGAATGTATTTTCAAGATTT